TAGGATTGACTGGTTTGATCTCCTTGCTGTCCAAGCATCACTAATCCAACACAATTCACCACTGTGACACACTCAGGAAGCACAGCATAATGTGCCAGGATTACTGTGAGTTAAGCACAGAGTGAGTGGGCTATCTTACTCTGCTACAGGCAAAGACAAAAGTGTTGCTGTACAAGCAATGTTTGAAGCTGCCTTTTCTTACACAATATTTTCATGTAAAAGCCTGTATTGCATGTTGGAAAAGGGCTCTCCAATAAAAAATAGAAGAGATAATGTATGTTGTGGATGACAATACCAAATAGCAGTAAGCTCTAACATTTTGCAGAAAAAGACCCACAATACTTTGCCATTCCAGGAAGAAAACATCCCATGTTATGTTTGTACATACATAGAAAAGGATCTTGACACATAAACACTGGATTGGGAGGTGGTGATGATTTCCTAAAATATGTATTCAGGTATTCTATGTATTCCTAAAGTAAATAAAATAAATAAGAATTTTTAAAAGCTATTTATGCATTTTAGGGGGACAACAGGATGGCACTCATTAGAGGGAGGAAAGTGAAAGTGTTAGTTGCTCAGTCACGTCTGACTCTTTGCGACCCCATGGACCATAGCCCACCCAGGTTCCTCCATCCATGGGATTTTCTGAGCCACCAAGGAAGCACTCATTAGAGGGAGGATCTGCAGGGAACCAGAATTTATTTGCTAACTCCTCCCTCACAGTTGTTCAATCAGTTCACGTTGATTGGATAGACAGTAATGACCGACACCAAGAAAAGCCAATGAGTGGGCCTGATAAATCACTCTGACAGCCTCAGTGCATCTTAGAGTAAAGAAAAATAAGGCAAAATTAAAAATATCTGATCTGGTGCCCAGTAAGTCATTCTTGAATTATATAGATGTTATGCCATGAAAAAACCTGAAAAATTACTTTCTAACAGATCAGATCCCTTTTTAGAATGATGATGATGATGACAATGATCTTTTTTTTAACCATTCATTGAATGTTGGCTACTTGCCAGGCACTGTTTAAGATGCTGAGACTAGAGCTATAGTGTCAGGTGGCAGTAGACAGATTATAATCATGATAAAGAGTGAATAGCTACCATTCTCTGGTGGCTCAGACAGTAAAGAATCTGCCTGCATCTTAAGAGACCCGGGTTCAATCCCTGGGTCCAGAAGATCCCCTGGGGCAGGAAATGGCAACCCACTACAGTATTCTTCCCTGGAAAATCTCATGGACAGAGAAACCTAGCAGGCTACAGTCCATGGGGTTGCAAAGACATGACTGAGTGACTAACACTTTCACTTTCACTTGGCACTTACCCTGTTCCAAGAACATTTTATATACATTATCTCACAACGCTCCTGCACAGTAGATGGCAGTCCGTCCACTTCATGTGTAAGGAAACTTCAGTCAGAGAAGGTGAAATGACTGGCCCATGATCACCCACTTAGAAAGGGGCTGACCATGGAAATTCCTTGGCAGTCCAGTTGTTACAACTAGGTACTTCCACTGCAGGGGTCGTGGGATTGATCCCTGGTCCAGGAAGTAGGATTCTGACAAGCTGAGTTACACAGCCAATTAAAAGAAAGAAAGAGGCTGTTCAGAAGAGAAAATCAGTTGCCTCGATGCCAGGCCACCAGTAACTGCCTTTCTCTCAGGACAGGACCACATTCCCTTGGAAAGGGAGCTCACAGTGACGATTCATAGGACCCAGAACAATGATGAGCCCAAATGTGAAACTACTGAGGTCAGGAAAGCAGTGGACAAGAGGTGGCACAAGGCAGAGACAGGAGCCACCTCATTCAGGGCTCCAATACCAGTTATGCCAAAAGCTGTGAGCCACACCTGGTGTTCTGGCCAGGTTTTGCCTCCTCCATCCATGTCTTTAAACACAGCATGTACATACTCATGGTCCTGAAAATGGAGCTCCCACTGAACTATCCTTGACAATGGGATGTCCAAGCATCACCAACAGAATTCCAACAGTGTCCTGATCTGGAGTGCCCTAAAAGCAGTGTTCAGCCCCTGCATGTTCCCTCAGCAAGCCTCCTGATCTATAAGGGAATTTCTTAACCCACAGGCAAAACACTGCAATGCAACCATGAGAGTGGATACAGGAAGGAGTATAGGGGAAACCACTGAAGGCAGGCCCAGGAAGGTTGAATTTCCTTCATGACTTTGTCACCAACAGGCTGGGATGTCACCTCGATCATACACTGCTCTGTTCCTGAACCCCTCAAATGCTGAATGAAAACAAGTTCTGTCATCTTAAACTCGGGCCCCAAACAGAATCTTTGTGGAGCTGCTTAAGGAGAATTCCTGTGCCCATGGCTCCCAGAAATCTGATCAGTGCTTCTGGGATGTGGCACAGAATCTGCATTTTACACTAACTGGCCAGAGCAGGGCAGTGTCTGCCAATTCACAGATCACTAGCTTAAATGTCCATCAAGGGAAGCCTGATTTTAATGGAATTCTGAATGAAGGAATATTATGCGGCTCTAAAAATAACACCATTAAAGTTATTTTGTAAAAAGGGACAAAGTGAGCAATCATGTGGTAAAAGGACACAAAGGGAAGTATTTCACCTTCTTCTGAAACTATATGAAAGAATTATCTATAATAGTAGTAGTAGTTTTCCAAAGTACTTATTGAGTACTTTCTTCCATTAACTCTGGATAAGTTGTGGATCCACACCTTCCCTTGGCAACCAGGATCTGTAGCACAGGCATGCCTTTAAAGTGACACCCATACTCCTAGAGGAGAACATAAGCAAAACACTCTCCGACATAAATCAGCAGGATCCTCTATGACCCACCTCCCAGAATATTGGAAATAAAAGCAAAAATAAACAAATGGGACCTAATGAAACTTAAAAGCTTTTGCACAACAAAGGAAACTATAAGTAAGGTGAAAAGACAGTCCTCAGATTGGGAGAAAATAATAGCAAACGAAGCAACAGACAAAGGATTAATCTCAAAAATATACAAGCAGCTCCTGCAGTTCAATTCCAGAAAAATAAATGACCCAATCAAAAAATGGGCCAAAGAACTAAACAGACATTTCTCCAAAGAAGACATACAGATGGCTAACAAACACGTGAAAAGATGCTCAACATCATTCATTATCAGAGAAATGCAAATCAAAACTACAATGAGGTACCATTACACGCCAGTCAGGATGACTGCTATCCAAAAGTCTACAAGCAATAAATGCTGGAGAGGGTGTGGAGAAAAGGGAACCCTCTTACACTGTTGGTGGGAATGCAAACTAGTACAGCCACTATGGAGAACAGTGTGGAGATTCCTTAAAAAACTGGAAATAGAACTGCGATATGACCCAGCAATCCCACTCCTGGGCATACACACCGAGGAAACCAGATCTGAAAGAGACACATGCACCCCAGTGTTCATCGCAGCACTGTTTATAATAGCCAGGACATGGAAGCAACCGATGCCCATCAGCAGACGAATGGATAAGGAAGCTGTGGTACATATACACCATGGAATATTACTCAGCTGTTAAAAAGAATTCATTTGAATCAGTTCTAATGAGATGGATGAAACTGGAACCCATTATACAGAGTGAAGTAAGCCAGAAAGATAAAGAACATTACAGCATACTAACACATATATATGGAATTTAGAAAGATGGTAATGATAACCCTATATCAAAACAGAAAAAGAGACACAGATGTACAGAACAGACTTCTGGACTCTGTGGGAGAAAGCGGGGGTGGGATGTTTCGAAAGAACAGCATGTATATTATCTATAGTGAAACAGATCACCAGCCCAGGTGGGATGCATGAGACAAGTGCTCGGGCCTGGTGCACTGGGAAGACCCAGAGAAATCGGGTGGAGAGGGAGGTGGGAGGGGGGGAACGGGATGGGGAATACATGTAACTCCGTGGCTGATTCATGTCAATGTACGACAAAACCCACTGCAATGTTGTGAAGTAATTAGCCTCCAACTAATAAAAATAAACGAAAAAAAAATATAAAGTGACACCCAGATTAAAGGCGCTGCCGCCTGCAACACCTGGAGGGGAGCCTGACGGGTCAAAGAACCCTCTGCTACTTCCGGGCTCCTGGCCAATTGGTTCTTCCTTCGGCACGACAACTGAGCTGCAACAGATACACCTCTGAGCGTAGTGTAGGTCAAACTCAATACAATAAACTCTTGGCTTAGTGATGGAAGTATAACAATGACCATCTTGCTAAACTGATATATACATAAGTTGATCGTGCAGCAGTTGCTAATAAGACACTCACTTCTAACACCGCTTTCCCTTTCAATATCGCTGCAAGGATCTGGCAGTCATTGAGAACACAGGCGTAGACTTAAGGATGTCATCCAAAACCTTACCTCACTATCGGACCAAAAGAAGATAAGACGTCACTGCCAGGGCGAGGTCTCGGGGGATGAAGGAACTACATTTCACTGTCCTGGTGCAGCGTTCCAATGGTGGGACTTGAAATGTAATCGGTTTTCCGGTTGAGGTTTTCCGCATCTGAGGTCAACCCGAGCAAAGAAAGCCAAGGACTTCACCCAGGAGTGGCACGATTGCTCCGCCCCCTTCAGGCCGATAAAAGAATCTACACTGAACTACCCACCAGGGCCAGGACTCCGGCTTCACAGACGCCTCCATTTCTGTAGGCGGAGCCTAGGAAGGGGCGGGGCTTAGCGTGAGGCTGCTTTGCGACTCAGGTTCCGCCGGCTTCACTCACGACATCCTTGGCTCACTCCTGTGCAAACCCGTCCACGTGAGGAGCTGAAGCTTCAAACTCGCAAGTCTGAAGGCAGCAGCTTCCCTAGAAGCCACGACTGAGTGACTCCCCAGAGGCAACCCCAGAGTTCCGAAGACTCATCCTGCGTTCCTGCGCCCCACCACCCCGCGTCGGCCTCACCTGTCAAGCCGACCTGTCACTGCCTGCAGGACCCAGCCCTCTGTCGCCTTCTGCCAGGTCCCAGGCCCGCGGCGACACCCACATGATGGGCAGCCGACCGCGCAGTCCCACCGCCTACCCTGAGGACCCGTGGGACCCGCAGGACGGAGGACCCGGCCCTGCCAAGCGCCGCCGAACCGAGGAGCCCAGGCGCCTGAAGTCCGAGTTTGAGGCGGCGCCCAGCCTGGATAACCTGACTTGGTCCCCGACGGCGGGCACCCTCATCTTCGTGGCTGTCCTGCCGGCGGGATGTGCTCTGCACGTGCTCCTGGACGACGTCGAACTGCTGCTGGAGCCCGAACCAACGTCTGTGAGGCAAGTGTGTCTCGGAGGTCGCATCCTCATGCTGGTCCCCGAGGCTCTTGTGGGCTCGGGTATGGAAGGGCCGTGGGGGCAGGGCCTAGAACCGGGAGCTCTCCTGAGCCCTCGCGGGGAGTACGTGGCTCTGGAGCCGGCATTCTTCTGTGCCGCTGTCCCAGAGATCGCCTGCCAGGGAGAGGCCAGCAAGGAGGATGCAAATGCTGACGCTGACTTCCTGCTGGGCGAGATGGATGCTGCCTCAGTCCCAGTCGCTGGGCTCCGCTCTTCTGCTGGAAGTTTGACTCACTTTGACCTGTTCGACCTAGTCTCAGAGCCCTCCCCTCGGGCCTCCAATCCTAGTCCAGAGAGAGGCTCTCCTCAGCACGCCGACAGCCTGGACTTGCACCTTCTGGAGCCCTTTCCTGACTCACCACTCCAACCTCTACCTCCTTCTCCGAGTCCAAGTCCCCAGGAGCGCCCCTGTCGCCCTCCTGGTTCTCCTTGCAAGGCCCGGAGATGCCTGTTCCCTGAATCCACTGCCTCCCACGATTCCTGGGCACATGAACGGGCACCAGAACAGAGTCTTCTGATGTTGGCTGTGTACATATTGCACATACCGTAAGAATCAGATGAACAGATCCTTTTTGGATGCAGGCTGCAGATTTTTCTTTTTAAAAAAAATTTAAAATTTATTTTTTAGTTGGTGGAATATTTCTTTACAATTTTGCATTGGTTTCTGCCATACAACAATGTGAATCAGTCACAATTACATATATTTATATGTATTCCTTCCTACCTGAGCCTCCCTTTCCTCCCCTCATCCCACCCCTCTAGTTCACCAGGCTGTGCTCCCTGTGTTATTTAGCAATGTCCCACTATTTATCTGTTTTATACATGATAGCGTATATATGTCAATGCTACCTTCTCAATTCATCCCACCCTCACCTTTCCCCACTGTGATTACAAGTCCATTCTTTAGGTTCATCAATGCCATTTTTCTAGATTCCATATATTTGTTAATATAGGATACTTGTTTTTCCCTTTCTGACTTACTTCACTCTGTGTACGGGGCTCTAGGTTCATCCACCTCACTGCAATTGACTCAAATCCATTATTTTTTTTTTACAGCTGAGTAATATTCCATTGTATAAATGTACCACGTCTTTATCCATTCATCTGTTGATGGACCTAGATAGGTTGCTTCCATGTCCTGACTGTTGTAAATATTGCTGCAGTGAACACTGGGGTACAAGTGACTTTTAGAATTGTGGTCTTCTCAGAGTATATGCCCAGTAGTGGGATTGCTGGGTCATGTGGTAGATTTGTTCCTAGTTTTTAAAGGAATATCCATGCTGTTTTCCATAGTGGTTGTATCAGTTTATATTCCCACCAAAGTACAGTAGGGTTCTATTTAATGGGAATAAAAACAAAAATAAAGACTAGGGACCTAATAAGGCATAAAAGCTTTTGCACAGCAAAGGAAACTATAAACAAGATGAGAAGATAACCCTCAGAATGTGATAAAATAATTGCCAATGAAGCACAGAAAAAGGATTAATCTCCAAAATATATAAGCAGTTCATACAGCTCAGTATCAGAAAAAATAAACAACCCCAATCAAAAATGGGCAGAAGACCTACAAAGACATTTTTCCAAAGAAGACATACAGATGGCCAATAAATACATGAAAAGATGCTTTGTATCACTCATTATTAGAGAAATGCAAATAAAAACTACAGCGAAATACCACCTCACACCAGTCAGAATGGCCATCATCAAAAAATCTACAAACAATAAATGCTACAGAGAATGTGCACTGTCTAATTTTGACCAGTGGCTGCCTAAAACACCTGAAAGGAGCTCACCTGGGCAAAAAAAAAAAAAAGGCGTCTTCAAATGTAGCGTTGTTTCAGGCAGACTTACTGTTGCTTAGGTTTTCTCTAGGGTGGACACTCAAGCAGTTCTATCCCCCAGCTTTCTTCAAAGCTAAAGCACAGCACTTTTCTAGTAAATATTAAAAGACATCTTTTCTCAAGCATCCTACCATCGCCCCTTCCACTTCTTTTCCTGTCAAGAGTAACTTATAAATTTCTTTTGTCTACAGGTTTTGGTCCTAGTATCCATCTAAATTAATAATATGACAACCCTCTACCCTGTCTTACCTTTTCTGGATGGCCTTTGTGGGGATCTTACTACTGGTTCTATGGGACAAATGTAACTGGATACAAGACTCAGAATGGGGAACAATGATTATGGGCTCTCCTCTTTTTGAATGCCTAGGTTGGAAAATTAACTCTTGCTATTTTTGTGGGAGTATTTTCCAAAAATGGACTCCCCTCATAGCTCAGTTGGTGAGGAATCCACCTGCAATGCAGGAGACCCTGCTTCGATTCCTGGGTCCAGAAGATCCCCTGGAGAAGGAAATGGCAACCCATTCCAGTATTCTTGCCTGAAAAATCTCATGGACAGAGGAGCCTGGCAGGCTATAGTCCATGGGGTCGCAAGAGTTGGATATGACTTAGAGACTAAATCACCATCATTTTCCAAAAGAACTTACTATTTCCATCCTTTCCTTCTTACATGTTTTTAATATAATTCTCTTGTCATAGAAAATTTATAATACTAAAGATTTTTTTTGTTTTTATACTTTTGTGAGTCAATATATTTTGTACATTGTTACTAGCTTATAGAAATAATTTGTTCTTATATTGGTCTGGTATCCAGCAATATTAATTATAGTAATCACTTCTCTGTGGATTCTCTTGCTTGACTGATAAAGATAATATCTCCAAATAATGAGAGTATTGTCTCTTTTTCTCTTACTAGGCTTTTACATTGAATTTTCCTTAATCTTTTTTAGTGGTTATTGAAGTAATAACCATTACTTCAAATCCAGGGTGACCAATATAGTTAATATGGTTATCCCTTTCTGTTCTTTTGAAATATAGTTATATATAATTTTATATGATTTTATATTAGTTTCAGGTATACAAAAGTAATTCAACACTTTTTTGGATTATATTCAGTTTAAAGTTATTATTAAATAATGAGAATGTTTTCTTATATAATATGTCCTTGTTACTTATCTACTTTATATAGTGTAGTTTTAAATCTCTTAACCTTATACCCTGTCTTATCCCTTCCTTCTCCTCCTCACTGTTAGCCACTTCTTTGTTCTCATTGTCTATCTCTTTCTGTTTTATTGTATGCATTTGTTTTATTTTTTAGTTTCCACATATGAATGATAACATAGAGAGTATATATCTTTCTCTGTCTGACTAATTTCATTAAGCAGAATACACTGTAGGTCCATGCACATTGTTGAAAATGGCAGAATATTCCTCACATCTTTTTTTTCTTTTAAACCTACACATTTATTGATTTGTCTGCGTTGGGTCTTCGTTGCAGCACATGAGACCTTCACTGTGTCTTGTGGGATCTTTCCTTTCAGCACATGGACTCTCCAGCTGTGGTGCCCAGGCTCAGTAGTTGTGGGCCATCTCTGGAGTACATGGACTCAGTAGTTGTGGCTCAGGGGCTTAGTTGCTCTGCAACATGTGGGATCTTAGTTCCCTAATCAGAGATCAAACCCATATCCCTTGTATTGCAAGGCAGATTCTTAACCACTAGACCACCTGGTAAGTCCCCTGTACTGTGTGTGTTTAGTCACTCAGTCATGTCCAACTCTTTGCGACCCCATGGACTGTAGCCCACCAGGATGTCCCCTCATCTTCTGTATTCATTCATCTGTAATAGTGAGATCACAGATTTATTGAGCCCTGAAACATTAGGTGGAGACAACTGGATAGATAGATATGAATAACTTGAACCCCCAGATCTTTTTTAATCCTCTTGGCCCCCAGAAGTGGCCCACCACTCTCTATGAAAACTTGCACATCTACCTTGCTCTAAGATGATGCAGAAGCCTCTGCTTGGCAAGGCAAAGTGCACCAACTTCAAGATTTACCCCCATCTTCTCTCTTTGCCACTAGACAATAACTGAAGTTAAGTATAATATAATACAACAGACGATCAAAAGGTCCAGAGTAATGGGGATGATACACTGGATATAATACCTAAAGCTAAATAATGTGTCAGCTAGTGGGAGTGTGGAAGGGCCTAGACACTGTGTAACTAAGCAAAAGAAATGCACTGGGGAGGCATCAGCATCATTGAGTTCAGTGGGCCATGGTTGGCCAACAGGAGATGTCATTAAGCAGCTGGAGTCCTTGGTAGCCCTGAGGATCATCGGATCTGAGAGACTGAATATACAAGCTAAGAATGACCAGACCACTTATGACAAAAGAATTCTGACACAAAAATTTTGCAGCAAGCAGCCCAGAAACAAAACTGTAACCTCTGTGGTAACTGGCCCCAAATAATCAGAACTTAGTCAATAACTGCCAGCTTCCCTAATTTTCATCCCTCCTTCCAACTCAGGACCATTCTAAGAAAGTCAAATGTACTGTGCTTAAGGCACAGAGTTCACAAAATCAAATCAATTACATAGATTCCCTCCTTCGAGTTAGCCTGCCTCTGGCTTTCCCCTGCCAACAACTTCTGTTTAAACACACCTGAAGTTTTCCTTTTTCCACCATAAACATTTCTCACTCCCTTACCTGACTATCAGCTCTCAAATATAAGTGACAGGGTTGACTCTTGCTATATAACAGCTTCTGATTAAATAGCTTCTGCTTGTTCTCCTGAACTCTCTCATTGGTAAATACCCCATATAAATTTCTTGACACCATATCTGACCCTCTATGGGCTAGAAATTTCATTGACATAGGAAAAAATGGGGAAAAAAAAACAGGTAAAATAATGGAAGCAGAACACAGTAAAGAAGTTGCCTGCAGTGTGGAAGA